CTCCTAAAGAAAGTCTGTACCCACCAGGGTCACAGCCCATGATGAGACCTGGAAGTTGGACAAACTTGCTAGGATCTCAAAATGATCAGGCTGGGGCCTCCAAATATTCTATGGTAAAACTGAAACACCACACTGCATGATCAAGGCACAGAGAAAAACACTTCTCAAAAAAGAGCCCTAAATGCATATTACAGGAATATTTTTTAAGACAAAGAACACAGAAGAACTACATCCTCGTTGGTTGATACAAAAGCAAGCAAGCAGTTTGACAAGAGCCAAGACCACGCTGTTAATTGACCCTGTGTCTCAAGAACAGAGTTGGTTGCTTTCTCATAAGACTTTTCAGGGCAGGAGACAGAAAACCTAGATGGTTTCAGCTGAGACAAGATGAAGAAATTTTTGTCCTCCTACAGTCAGTGGGCAGCGACAATATCCTAATCAAGACAGGATGACAGAGGGCACAGTTGCATCAGGAATGAAGGTTGGGTCACTCCTCCAGAAAAAGAGCCAAAATCTCCTGAGGCACTTCTCATGGGTGAAGGAAAAACACCCAACAGCTGCAAATTTTACCCTATCCTCTGCACCACAATTTCTGGCCCACAACTCTGCCTCCTTTCCTGGACCACTGGCACCAGAGATACCAGGAAAGACCCCAGCCTCAGCCTAAGCCCTTGAACACCAAGTTCCCTCAAAACACACCAAAAAAACATTAAACAGGAACAGATGCCCCAGACTCCATTTTCTGGCCTACAACTCTGTCTGCTTCCCCACAGGACACTCTGGCACCAAGAACCCCAGGTCACACTGTTACTAGGGACTCCAGAGGCAAGGTTAACACCCAAAACCTTAGAAGTCACACAGGCCACAAAAAACCAGAGAGGATACTTTAGTGGACCTAAAGACTTGCTAGTCACCAGAACCCTAAGCAAGTCAAGCCAGAAGACAAAAAAGAAACAAAGGCAAAGCAAAAGAAAACATCCCTAAATACTCATCCAATAAAGATAAACTCAAAAACCAGACTGAATCTGTAATAATCACTAAATAGAGATGGCTAAAGGCCACTGTAAGGACACAATCAACAACAGCCAGGGAAACTTGGCACTACCAGAGCCCAGCTATCCTACTATAACAAACCTTGGATATTCTAACACAGCTGAAGCAAAAGAAAATGACCTGAAATTCAATCTTATCAGCATGATAAAGGCCTTTAAAGAGGAAATAAATAAGTCCTTTAAGAAATAGAGGATAATGCAATCAAACAGGTGAAGGAATGAGTAAAACTGTTCAAGACCTGAACGTGGAAATAGAAGCAATAAAGAAAACACAAACTGAGGGAATTCTGGAGATTGAAAACCTAGGTAAGAAAAAATAAAGTACAGATGCAAGCAATACCAGTAGAATATAAGAGATGGAAGAAAGGCTCTCAAATATAGAAGATACAACAGTAGAAACTGATACATTGGTCCAAGTAAATGTTAAATCTAAAAAGGTTCTGACATAAAACATCCAGGGAATGTGGGACACTAGGAAAAGACCAAACTTAAGAATAATAGGAATAGAATAAGAAGAAGAGTCCCACCTCAAACATTCAGAAAACATTTTCAACAAAATCAGAGAAAACTTCCCTAACCTAAAGAAAGAAATGCCTAAAAATGTACAAGAAGTGTACAAAATACTAAATAGATTGTACAAAAAAAGAAAATCCTAACACATAATTCTCAAAACACTAAATGTGCAAAACAAAGAAAGAATATTAAAAGCTGCAAGAGTATAAAGGCAGACCTATCAGAATTCTACTAAACTCTCAACAGAGACTCTAAAAGCCAGAAGGGCCTGTGCAAATGTCTTGCAGACCCTAAGAGACCACAGATATTAGCACAGTCTATTCTACCCAGCAATACTTTCATTCACCATAGTTGTAGAAAACAAGCTATTCCACAACAAAACCATCTTTAAACAATATCTATCCACAAACCCAGCAGTATAAAAGACACTAGAAGGAAACTCCAATACAAGGAGGCTAACTACACCCAAGAAACACAGGAAATAAATTGGGAAACCAAACCAAAGGAAGGGAAACACACACACACACACACACACACACACACACTCACTCACTACCAACAACAAAATAACAGGAATTCACAATTATTGGTCATTAATATCTATCAACATCAGTGAACTAAAAAGACATAGGCTAACACAATCATTGTAGAAAAGGTTCCATCATTCTGCTGCATACAATTAACATACATTCAGCCACAAAGTTTGGTATTACCTCAAAGTAATGGGCTGGAGAATGGTTTTACAAGCAAATAAACTCAAGAAGCAAACTGGAGTAGCCATTCTTATATCTAGTAAAATAGACTTCCAATCAAATTTAATCAAAATAGATTGGGAAAGACACTTTATATGCAACAAAGGAGAAATCCACTTTGATAATGTCTCAATTTGGGACATCTATGCCCCAAATGCAAGGGTACCCACATTCATTAAAAAATTTACTGAACCATACTCATTCATTAATAGTAAGAGACTTCAATATCTCACTCTCAACAATAGGCAGGTCATCAGGATAGAAACTCAACAGAGAAATAATGAAACAGAGGTTATGAATCAAACAGACTTAACAGATATCTATAGAACATACCACTCAAACACAAAAGAATATACTTTCTTTTCAACACCTCATGACCATCTCCAAAGTTGACCATACACTCAGTCACAAAGAAATCCACAACAGATTTTAAAAAAATGATGTAATATCTGTATCTTATAAGATCACCATGTATTCAAAAAATGGCTGTCTTACTAAAAGCGTTCTACAGATTCATTGCAATTCCCATCAAAACTCCAACTCAATTCTTTACAGACCTTGAAAGAGCAATGTTCAGCTTCATATGGAAAAAGAAAAACCACGGGATAGCTAAAACAATAAAAGAAATTCTGGAGGTATCACTATCCCTGATCTCAAATGACACTACAGAGCAATAGCAATAAAAACTGCATGGTATTGGCATAAAAACAGACAGGGTAGTTAACAAAATAGAATAGAAGACTCAGAAATAAATTCAAACATCGATGGACACTTGGTATTTGACAAAGAAGCCAAAACCATACCATAGAAAAAAGACAAATTATTTAAAAGAATTAAATTATTTTATTAGGTATGTATTTTAAAAGGTGTGCACAGATATTGTTACTGCATCTTTAATTTCAACAGTAAAAACTGTGGGAGAGGCTAGAGAAATGGCTCAGAAGCTATCATTAGCTACTTTTGCAGAGGAATTCCTGGCACTCACATGACATCTCACCACCATCTACAGTTCCAGTTCTAGGGGTCAGATGCTCTTTCCTGACTCCACAAGAACTAGGCACATATGTGGTGCCCAGGCATACACACAAACAAAACACCTATAGACATAAACGAAGAAATAAACATTGTGGAGATATGTTTTATCTCAGGTTCTATTAGTGTCTACAGAACATCCATTATTTGGCATCTTGGCCTATAAACCTGAAATGTTTATTTTCGGGGTCTTTACAAAATACCTTCAGACTAGTTGGAGAAAAGTAAAGGGTAGCTAAATCCATGCAAGTGTCCAGTAGCGTGTGAATACATCAATGAGAATAACTCAATAAGCAGTGTAAACAGTGGAGAGAACTCAGCCCTTGGACACATCTCTAAGGGGATCTACATTACCTTATGGTACTGTGAGAATTACAGGAACTAATACATTTGACAATGATTTTATGAAACAATTTGTAAAGCTCTGGGTAACTCTCACCCAGGCAGCATTTCTCTCAGGAGCCGTCATTCCCTAGACAGAGGAACAGCACTGGTTCTTGGTCTGGATCAAGTTTCAGCACGCACTAGCTGTGGTAGTGGCTTAGTTACTGGCTGATCTGACCTGTTGAGGGATTACCACACTAGTTCTGTAGGATTGACAAAAGGTTTAAAATATCACGCGCGTGCACGTGCGCGCGCACACACACACACAAAGCTGAGCTTTCTTTGCTCTGTGTATGAAGTATGTGCATATATGTGTGTGTGTGCATACCCATATGAGTACAGACATGTGCATTCTATGGTGCACATAGGGAGGCCAGAGGACAACCTGGTTGTTGATGCTCACCCACAATCTTGATTGACACAGGGTCTCTTTGTTTGCTGGTGTGTATGCTAGACTAGCTGGCCAGGAACTTCCTATGTTGTCATACTTCTGTTGCTGTGATAAAACACCATGACCAAAAGCAACTCAGGGATAAAAGGATTTATTTCAGCTTTTCAGGCCTTTCCTATAGCACAATCTATTGAAGGAAGTCAGGGCAGTAAGTCAAGGCAGGAGCCTGGATACAGGCACTGAAGCAGAGATCACTTTTTACCGGTTTGCACCCTGTGGCTTGCTCAACCTCTTTTCTTTTTATTGGTTACTTTATTTGTTTACATTTCAAATGTTATACCCCTTTCTGATTTCCCTTCCAAAAACCCCCATCCCAGCTCCTCTCTCCCTGCTTCTATGAGGGAGCTTCCCCACCCACCCACTCCCACCTAATCACCCTAGCATTCACCTATATTGGGGCATTGAATTGTTACAGGACCAAGGGCCTTCCCTCCCATTGATACCAGATAAGGCCATCCTCTACTACATATGCAGCTGGAGCCATGAGTCCCTCCATGTGTACTCTTTGGTTGGTGGTTTAGTCCCTCGGAGTTTTGGGGTTCTTGTTGGTTAGTATTGTTGTTCTTCTTATAGGGTTGCAAGCCCCTTCAGCTCCTTCCCCTAACTCCTCTATTGGGGTCACTGTGCTCAGTCTGATGGTTGGCTGTGAGTATCCGCATCTGTATTGGTAAGGCTCTGGCAGAGCCTCCCAGGGGGCAGCCATAGGCTCTTCTTAGCAAGCACTTCTTGGCATCAGCATTAGTGTCTGGGTTTGGTGTCTGCAGATAGCATGGATTCCTAGATGAGGCAGTCTCTGGGTGGCCCTTCCTTCAGTCTCTGCTCCACTCTTTGTTCCTGCATTTCCTATAGACAGGAACAATTCTGTGTTAATATTTTTTAGATAGGTGGGTGGCCCCATCCCTCAACCAGGAGCCGTGCCTAGCCTCTGAATATGGTCTTTAGAGGTTCTCTCCCCCATTTGTTGGGTATTTCAGCTAATGTCATCCCCACTGGGTCCTGGGAGCCTTTTGCTTTCCTGGCATCTGGGACTTTCTAACGGATACCCCCAGTTCCCATGTCCCACTGCTACACATCTCTGTTCAATTTCCTCCGTTCAACTTCTCTGCAAATTGATCCGTTCTTATTCCCTTGTACAAAGCTTAAGTCCAAGTGGATCAAGGACCTCTGGATAAAGCCAAATACATGGAGTGTAATAGAAGAGAAAGTGGGAAAAAGCCTAGAACACATTGGCACCGGGGAAATTTTCCTGAACAGAAAACCAATGGCTCAGACTCTAAGATCAACTATAGACAAATGGGATCTCATAAAATTGAAAAGATTCTGTAAGGCAAAGGACACTGCCAACAGGACAAAGCAGCAGCCTACAGATTGGTAAAAGATCTTTACCAACCTGACATACAATAGAGGGCTAATATCCAATATATACAAAGAACTCAAGAAGTTAGACTCCAGACAACCAAATAACCCAATTTTAAAAATGGGGTACAGAGCTAAACAAAGAATTCTCAACTGAGGAAACTTGAATGGCCAAGAAGCACCAAAGGAATGTTCAACATCCTTAGTCATCAGGGAAATGCAAATCAAAACAATCCTGAGATTCTACCTCACACCAGTCAGAATGGCTAAGATCAAAAACTCAGGTGAAAGCAAATGCTGGTGAGGATGTGGAGAAAGAGGAACACTCCTCTATTGCTGGTGGGATTGCAAGCTGGTACAACCACTCTGGAAATCAGTCTGGCAGTTCCTTAGAAAATTGGACATAGTATTACCTGAGGACCCAGCTATACCACTCCTGGGCATATACCCAAAGATGCTTCAACATACAACAAGGACACATGCTCTTCTATGTTCATAGCAGTCTTATTTACAATAGCCAGAAACTAGAAACAACCCAGATGTCCCTCAACAGAGGAATGGATATAGAAAATGTGGTCCATTTACACAATGGAGTATTACTCAGCTATCAAAAACAATGACTGCATGAAATTCACAGGCAAATAGATGGAACTAGAAAATATCATCCTGAGTGAGGTAACCCAGTCACAAAAGAACCCACATGGTATATACTCACTGATAAGTGGATATTAGGCAAAAAGCTCAGAATACCCACAATACAATTCACAGACCATATGAAGCTCAAGAAGAAGAAAGACCAAAGTGTGGGTGCTTCAGTCCTACTTAGAAGGGGAACAAAGGGTCACAGGATCAATCTGTTCTCTTATATAGCTCAGGATAACTTGCCCAGGGGTGGCACTGCCCACAATGAACTGACCCCTTCCCCTCAATCACTAATTAAGAAATGTCCCACAGGTTTGCCTACAGCATGTTCTAAATTGAGGTTCCCTCTTCTCAGATTTCTCTAGCTTAGTAGTTCTCAACCTGTGGATAATGACCCACTTGTAGGTCACATATCAGATTCCCTGCATAACCAATATTTACACTATGATTCGTAACAGTGTCAAAGTTACAGTTATGAGGTTATAATGAAAATTTTGGTTGGGGCTCACCAAAACATGAGGAACTGTATTAAAGAGTCATAGTATCAGGAAGGTTGAGAACCACAGATTGACAAAGAAACCCAAAAAACCCAAAAACAATAAACTGGACACTATTGGAGCACTTGAATTATAGATGTGCCTCACCGTTAGCTTTACAAGGACTTTGGAAGGAAGGCAAACTTTGGTCCCCAATCTTTCATAGCAGGAGTTTTGCCCACGGGCCATTTCCCCAACCCACAATGAGCATTCTTGAGCAGAAAATCCAAAATGCTTCAAAATCTAAAATGTTTTGAACATTAAAGCCATGCTGCACAAGTGTGAAACCACATCTCAGACATGTGTTTGAGACCATATACACCTCAATGAAAATGGCTGTTATATTTGGAGGGTTCCTCTCTACAACAATGTTTGATGGATGTGCACATGTTCCAAATTCTGGGAAAAACAAAAAAATATCTACTTACAAGCAATTTGGAAAGAGAGAGAGAGAGAGAGAGAGAGAGAGAGAGAGAGAGAGAGAGAATATGAATATCATAGAACTCAGTGCCTAGCCTCACTAACTAACATCAGTACTGCAGAATTGTTACTAATACTGGTTCTCTATTTGTTATTGCTGCCTAGTTACTACAGCAAATTATCAGGAACTCTGATCTCCTCAGGAGACAGCATGCTAGTCTAAGGCAGAAGTTCTCAAACTTTTTATGATCTAAATGCTGGCCTTAGAGAAATGAACTAGGGTGGCACACAGAATTGGACAAAGGCCAAAAGACTAATGATCTCTGGCCTTGTAATTCTCTCTAACTGTACTAGGGGCTTCTGGAAACTTAACACTCTCTTGCTTATTCTGTGGCTGAAAACCACCGCCCTCTTCTCTGTTTAATATTCTGTGGCTTCTTTTCTCTTTATTTTTCTATGGTTTATTTTTCCTTTACAAATCTCTGTGCTTTATTAAACTTTATAAATCTCCAAGCTTTATTAAATGTTATATGTTTTATAACTCTCTATTACTGTTCTGTACTTCATTTAAGCATTGAAAACCTAACTCTTTATTGACTCTTTTTATCATTCTGTGCTAAAAACTTAACTCTTTCTTACTTGTCCTTAAATAAGATTATCTGGTGATTAACAAATACTATTTAGCAGTGAGGATCAAGTAAAAGGATTTATTGCTCCTTTCTCTAGCTAGTGAACCAGAAGCCTCTGGCTGGCCAGGGATCTCATGAACTCTTCTTGAACCATAGAGAAAAAGGAAAAAAAAAAAGATGTCATTCACAGAGACACATATACACAGAAACATATATAGCAGGTGAAGCAGAAAATGGCTGCACCATATTTTATTTATTGCTTTTAGATTTTTATAGCTTTTAGACCAAAAGTTCTCTATGTAAAAAAGAAATACCTCATAAGTAAAATATATACACACACACACAGGCCTTCATCTGCTTAATGTATTCCGTCTTCTGATATCTTCTTCAGTTTCTTTCTCAGGGACTTGAAGTTCTTGTCATACAGATCTTTCACTTGCTTGGTTAGAGTTACATCAAGATATTTTATATTATTTGTGGCTATTGTAAAGTGTGTTGTTTCCCCAATTTCTTTCTTAGCCTGTTTATTATTTGTATACAGGAGAGCTACTGATTTATTTGAGTTAATTTTTTATCCAGTCACTTTGCTAAAGATGTTTATCAGCTGAAGGAATTCTCTGGTAGAATTTCAGGGGTTGCTTATGTATACTATCATGTCATCCAAGAATAGTGATACTTTGACTTCTTCTTTCCTGATTTTTAAACACTTGATCTCTTTTAGACATCTTATTGCTCTGGCTAGAACTTCAAGACTATACTGAATACATAGTAGGCAGCTTGTCTTGTCCCTGATTTCAGTGGAATTGCTTTAAGTTTCTCTCCATTTAGCTTAATGTTGCTATTGGCTTTCTGTATATTGCTTTAATTATGTTTAGGTATGTGCCTGTTTCCCTGGTCTAATATTTTTAACACAAAGGGGTGTTGGATTTTGTCAGAGACTTTTTCAGCATCTAATGAGATAATCATGTGATTTTTTTCCTTCAGTTTGTTTATATGGTGGATTACACTGATGGATTTTCATATATTGAACCACCCCTGCATCCCTGGGATGAAGTCTTCTTGAGAGTAATGGATGATGTTTTCAATGTATTCCTGGATTCGGTTTGCTGGTACTTTATTGTGTATTTTTGCATCAATGTTCATAAGCAAAACTGGCCTGAAGTTATCTTTCTTTGTTGGATCTTTGTGTGCTTTAGGTATCAGGGTGACTGTAGCTTCATAGAATGAGTTTGGAAATGTTCCTTCTGTTTCTATTTTGTGGAATAGTTTGAGGAGTACTGGTATTAGCTCTTCTTTGAAAATCTGGTAGAATTCTGTACTAAAACCATCTGGCCCCAGGCTTTTTTGGGGGGTGGGGGGAGACCTGTAACGACTGCTTCTATTTCTTTCGGGATTATGGGGCTGTTTAAATAGTTCACCTGATCTTGATTTAACTTTAGTGAGTGGTTATCTGTCTAAAAATTTATCCATTTTGTTAAGATTTCCAGTTTTGTGAAGTCCAGGCTTTTGAGTATCTGAATTTCCTCAGTGTCCCTTGTTATGCCTTATTTTTCATTTCTGATTTTGCTAATATAAAAGGCAGACTGTCTCTGTCTTTTGGTTAGTTTTGGTAAAGGTTTTTCTATCTTGTTGATTTTCTCAATGGACCAGCTATTGGTTTTACTAAATCTTTGGATTGTTTTTCTTAGTTTCCCACTGATTGATTTCAGCCCCAATTCTGATTATTTTTTGCCTTCTACCGCTCTTTGGTGTGCTTGTTTCTTTTTTCTAGAGCTTTCAGCTATATTTTTAAACTGCTGGTATGAGAACATTCTAATTTCTTTATGGAGGCACTTAGTGTTATGAACTTTCCTCTTAGCACTGCTTTTATTGTGTCCCATAAATTTGAGTAAGTTATGGCTTCATTTTCATTGATTTCTAGAATTCCTTAATTCCTTTCTTTCTTCCCTGACACAGAGATCATTAAGAGTTGTTTACTTTCCATGAGCTACGTGTAGGCTTTCCACTGTTTCTGCTGTTGATGTACTCCAGCTTTAACCCATTGTGGTCTGATAAGGTACAAGGCATTATTTCAATCTTCTTCTATCTGCTGAGACTTGTTTTGTGGCTGACTATATTGTCAGTTTTGGAGAAGGATCCATGTGGTGCTAAGAAGAAGGTATATTCTTTTGTGTTTGGGTGAAATATTCTATTGATGTCTGTTGGATCCATTTGATTTGCAATGCCTGTTAATTTTGCTATTTTTCTGTTTAATTTTTAT